GCCGCAAACCCCATACCATACGGCTCGACCTCTCCCTCCACAATCCCTTCATACCTGCCAGTCGAAGACATCTACGTGGCACCACAATTCCAGCCCCCGAACCCTGAAGACGAGGACGATGTCGTCCCAGACCAGCATGCAGCGTTCGGCATTACCCGCGCTATGGAGCGGAGACGGGATGCTGTGTGGCGCGATCTTGGTCTTGAAGCACTTGTTAATGGCGAAGGACATGGCCCTGATGCTGGGCCTTTGACTGGTCCCGGAGGTGCTGGAGCTGCCGGGGCTGCGACCTCTGGGCCTGGGGCTACGTTGCGGGGTAGTGGGGGTGGTGCGGCGGCGGCCGGGGCGCCTGTTATTAGGGTCAAGGATTATGGGCGCAGGATGGGTGGGCGCAGGGTTATTGGGTTGCGATAATGGGTATCAAGGTTTACTGAAACCTTTACGAGGTTGCCTTTCACTAGGGCTGGTGCCGCAAGCTTTTTACCTACCTGTATCGGCAGGTAAATGGGTGTCTTGTGTTGTATTTTTTACTGGAGCTTTATTTTTCCCGGGGCTGGATAGCCTTGTTATGATACCCATGTTGGATTTATCCTTATATATCTCCTGAAGATCATTGATTCGTTTCCATTTGCGATTTTGTTCCAATAATCGCCAATATCAAATGGCTGCAGACATAGCTTAGTCTGAGCTTTAACGCCGCGCGTAATGCGATATGATTATACATTCCCCTAGATACGATTGATGTCGACCCGAGCCCGCTCGTACAGCTTGTGGCCCAGCTGTTTCTGTTCGCGCTCGTCCTCTGCCACCAGTCGGGGGTGGACGGCCATTTGGGCATATGAGCCTGCGGCGCGACGCTTTGATAGGGTGCCTGGGTTGATGACTAGCACACTGTCGACAACCTACAGAAGTATTAAGGTTAGCACCGTTGACGGTAGTTGGGAACAAAAAGCTTGGGCTAGGGACAACATACCTTTACGAAAGGCGGCAGCATACTAGGCACAAGTAAAATATCAGGCCGGACATTCCACCACTCGCCCAGTTTCATGTAGGGCAGATCCACCATAGCACCTGTAGCCAGGCTACCTTCGGACCCGGGCTTGGGAAGATTTGACCGTGCGGTCGGAGGGAACAAGGGGAAGAAATGGCGTTGCTCGACGAGGTATTTGGGCAGACGGGTGAGCAAGTTGCCCTCTGCGGGCCGGCCATTCAAGACCTCTTCGCGGCGAAGCTCGGAGAGCACATCGTGTGAGCACATTCCGATAACGCATTCGTTGAACGATAATGTGACGGGATTCGAGACAATGCGGACCTGCTTGGGCAGACCAAGGTCCTTCTTGGGAAGCTGCCCCTGGGGCCAGGAGACGTGTCGGCTGAGTGCATCGCGCACAGACGGAACCATCACGATCGTGATGCTTGGGACGGCGGCTGCAAGTCGTGCTAGTGGCACCGAGATACAGTGTCGGAACATTATGGACAGTGTAGCTGTGTCCGGGTCGAGGCCTTTGATATCTGGGAGGTCAAAGTCGCCCGATGCAAGAAGAGGGTGTTCAATATCCAGGAACGGTCCCATCAGCACCAAACTATCGGCGTAGCTTTCGGCTGCCTTCTGGCATAGTTCCTGCAATGGCTCAAAGTCCAGGTTGTCGTCCGCTGTGTAGGGCCCGGCTGCAACCATGATCTTCAACGGTGGGTTTGCATCTCCGTCAAGTCGCTCGTTGATGTTGTCCAGTGCTACAGCTGAGGATGCGGCTGGTGGCAATAGAGGGATTGGGAGTACTTCTTTGACAGTGAAATATTCACCAGAAGGGTTTATTCCCCGGAGAGCCACGATTTGGCCTGGGAAGAAGTTCACTGAGGGTACGGAATCCACCTTCAAGGGGACTCGTCTGCCGGCCCCGGTGCGGCGCGAAGTCTCGAGTACGAGGGAAGCTGGATTCAATTTCCCCTCGAGACTATCAGAAGCGATTCGTCCGACAGCAATTATCTCGCTTGTGCTCTGTATGGCTGCACTCCCGAATGTAATTTCGTCTGAATTGAATTCTGCCTGGAATATAGTCGCGAACTCGTCGATACGATCATCCAGAATCTCCGATGCTTCTGACAATTTCATACCCATGGGCTTGTAGCCAAACTTCTTGAGGTCCGTATTCGCGGTGGGCTTAATGCGTGGCTCGGAAAATGGCGCCATTGGGGTTTCTGGCAAGGATAGGTGTGTATTGAGGGTTTCCACCGTCTGGCCAGCGTTCGGTCGATCGGAGAACGGAATTGCTCTATTCTTGATGTCAGCATCTTCAATACATCCTACACTCCCGAGAAATACATACTGCATTCCATCGCCAGGTGTTCCAGTGGGGGTTTTTGTGCCGGCTTGTGATCCAAGCTTTTCGAACTTGCTTACTCTTGGTGTAGCGGGAGAGGTGAATTCAGCCTTGCGCTTTGCGGATCCAAAAGCATTCCCAGTTCGACCATTCGAGGCAGTTGGTGTCAATTGATCGAACATCCCAAACATATCGCCGCCAGCCGCGGCCGCGCCCCGCGGAGTTGCCGTGTTTGCGCTTCGCTTTTCTGTGTGTCGGCCAGCCTTATCGCGACTCTCACGCTCCAAAGCTTCTTGGACATCTTGCTTAAAGCCTCGCACTGTTTGCATGGTCAAAGTCACTCCCTCGCCCATCTTTATGCTGTATGATTCCCATTTGTAGAAGAGCTCCTCCGCGGGGATCGAATGCACTCGCAGCATGGAGAGAAGCTCAGCAAGGATATCTTTGGGGATCCCATCGGGGAATGAGCCCGCAAAAAACTCATTGAGCTCTCCCTCGGCGTCCATTGTGGCGAGATGTGTGTCGTGGAAGGGCAATGGACATTGAAAGTGCAGATACACGCGAGACGCGTGAGACCGTGTCGCTGACCTAAGCGTCCTAAAGCAGTAATATTATTCGAGCATTTGATGGGGAGTGGACCTGCAGGAATTGGTCAATTGATTGCCCCTAAATTTATTCTTCATTCTCTAGATTTCCACGTGTCATTGTATAGTCTATAAATTTAGATTTAGATACCATCCAAGATCATGTCTAACCCCGAACAAGGCGCTGCTGCGCATGCGCCCACCAATGGCGATACTGTGACCGATACGAACATACAGACATCGGTCGAATCAGGCCATGTGAACGCCCAGGCCGAGCCTACTTCAACTGCGAAGCCAATTGACCTTCAGTTACCGACCTCCGCCGCAGACGGCCTCGTCCAGAAGCCTTTCGGTAAACCGCTGGACACAGCCAAGCCAACAGCACCCGCGGAGCTTACTCCGGAACAACAATCCAAGTACGAAGCTGTGTTGAAGTCTGCTTCATCATGGACCACAGTCGCTACCAAGGCCGAGAAGAATGCCCCGACGTCTCCCATAACTGAGGATGAGAAGATGTGGTTGACCCGCGACTGTCTCCTGCGATACCTACGCGCTACCAAGTGGGATGTCTCCGAGGCGGAGACACGGCTCCAGAGCACTCTCACATGGCGCCGCGAGTACGACTTGAAGAAATTCACACCTGAGTATATCTCAATTGAGAATGAAACGGGCAAGCAGGTCCTTTTGGGCTATGATATTCACGGACGTCCATGCCTGTATCTCCTGCCCTCCAACCAGAACACGGAGAAGAGTGACCGTCAACTCGAGCATCTTGTATTCATGCTGGAGCGGGCCATTGATCTCATGGGACCTGGCCAGGATACTCTTGCCCTAATTGTCAACTTCAAAGAGACAAAATCTGGCCAGAATGCAAGCCTGGGTCAGGCCAAGCAGACGCTTGGCTTCCTGCAAAACCACTACCCTGAGAGACTTGGTCGGGCTCTGGTGATCAACGGTTAGTGATTTCATATTCTAGGCAATATTATAATAAATTACTAATTTCCTATCATAGTGCCCTTCGTCATCTGGGGATTCTTCAAGTTGATCACACCCCTGGTTGACCCCAATACTCGACAGAAGCTCAAGTTCAATGAGGACCTCCGTCAACATGTTCCGCCTAGCCAACTTATGAAGGCTGTGGGTGGTGATGTCGAATTCCGCTACGACCATGCATCCTACTGGCCTACTTTGAACCAGCTGGCTGACCAGCGACGTGAGGCGTACCGTGAACGCTGGGTTCAGGGTGGTAAGCAGGTCGGCGAGTTCGAGAACTACCTGAAGGGCGAGGACGTTCCTAGCCTGTCTCAGACTCAGGTTGAGGCCAAGGCCAGCGAACAAGCTTGAATGGGAGAACATATGATTTTGCGCCTATTTTGGTATGTCTGTCATTTTGATCGCCATTTCTTTTTTTTTTTCTTTCCTATTGGTTAGTTGCCGGCATTTTCTCAGAGCGCTGGGGTGATTTACTGTTGGATTCTTTTACATATACCGCTCTGTTTGGAGACACCTGTTTATAGACATGTCAATCTTTGTCAATACTTAGCGATAGAGTACCGTATTAATTAAAGTACCTAATCTTTCTTCTTCAGCCTTCCTTGCTTCCCACTCACATAAACACCAATTTAGATCGCTTTGGAGAGAAGATAAAAATATAGTGATGGGTATTGTGGTAAGGCCAACGGCTAACTTGAGGACTACATATAGACAGGACAATGTCTGACAAGGTTTGGCTTTCCCTTTCCGTTTTAGGGATCACCCCATGCTGCCTTTTGCTAACTGAGTAGAACTGAGTACGGCCTGAGTATGAGCGCTCTGATTTGCGTACTGAGCAGTCTGATCATCCATACCCGTGGACTCACTGATCACTGAGCACGACCTGCAAAGCGCGGCAGCAGCTAAGTCAGCAGCTCACCTCAATAAAATGCACTACGCTAGCCTCATCCAAATGCAGTTGGTCTCTCCAGAACTTTTGACCGTTGTCCCTCAACGAAAGGCTTTTGGCTTGACACTAGCACGTGTTTAACAGAAGACTCAAAGACTTACCCTTCCTTATCTGATTTCACATAAATCGCGATTAAAAAACGATCAGTTTAATATGAACGACCTCCGAAATAGTCTTTGCACTTACCCAGACTGGGGATATGTCATCTATCGCACTACCTACTCTGCTGAATCAGACACTCTATTCCCAGACTCTATCAGTCACATCGAGGCCTGTATTAAGCAAGCATTCTTCCAAGAAAACCAAGATCCTATAAATAAGCCCAACCAAATTTGGGCCAAACACCAATCGACTATCGTGCAAGATCCCGCGCAATTCAACGGGGCGTTTCTCGAGGCAATTCGCGCTCATTTTGAGGCCTGGGTGAACGCTCAAGGCATGCGTGACGATTGGACTAAATGGCGAATGTGTATGATTATCGATGAAGAATCCCTGCAAACGCTGAAAGGTCTATCAGTCGAGGCCGTTGAAAATGAAAGGCTAAAGAATTCCGATGATGAGCTACGATATGTAAAGGTTCTTGAAGCATTCCCGTATACGGATCAGTATGACAAATTTCCGGGCTGGATGAAATGTTGGATATATGCGCTCTGGGATCTCTGGACGATGATGGGAGATGGGGATGAGATGAGGCAGTTGTTTGACTGTATTGATGATTTTCCATTTGAGGGGGTGTACTGCGGATGATTTAAGATCTTCCTCTAAATTAGAAGAAAGATAGAAACAATATTATGTTGTATAAAACAGATAGGGTTCTCCACTCCGTCCTACGCCCTGTCGTCAGTGCTCTAAAAATTGAGGGCAGTAGTACGGAGTAATGCTATCAACGAACTAACTATCATAGTATAGACGACCCTATGGGGGCTACTCCCTTCTAGGCATAGACAACGTGCGAAGAAAAAGGCCTTGGAGCGAGCGATTTATCTTACGCGAAAACCTACACTTCCATAGCCCCAATTAATTATTTATAGACCAGAACCAGTTGGGACACAAAGTAGATCATTGTGGTATTACGCTAAAAGTAAACAGCAATAGCTAGCTGCAGTCGCCGTCTCTCTATATTTAGTGGTGTCGTGGTGGACACCTGATTTCTCAGGCCGTGATGTTAGACTCGCCACCTATATAAGTAGCTCTCTGGAGATCAACCTTTCTTCTCTCTCTCTCTCTCTGGCACCCAATAACTTCCTCACAATCTCAACCTCACCATATCTGACCTTCTTCTCTTCTATCAGATACCGTACCCCAAAGTCGACGAACATGGCAATCAACTGGCCACGGCAACGTCACCGTCAATTACAACTGAGGCGGGGGGTATACAGAGAGAGAAGTGAGAGAAGTGTGAGAGAGAAGTGAGAGATGGAAGTGTTTTCCCAGCAAGGTTAGAGATGTTTGATGACCTTCCAAGAATGGACATCAATTGGATGGTTCGCCTGCTCATGCAGGCGATGATACTCTTACTGGATATCTACACGCCATGTAAGAGGCTCAAACTCAGAGAAACGATTGGCTACACCCAGGGAATGTATCTCGAGGCCCTTGAGCAGTGCCAGATACCTTTGAGTGTCTTCTACCCTTTTAACCACGCAATGCCACTAAAGCCAACTGATATAAGGACTTCTGGTCGACGGGTCTGCCACCATTGTGCTACCACAAAATCCGGAGCCAAAGCATGGTATTTCTACCCTAACGCCACCGACGAGAATCCGTTGTACTATTGCGGAGCTTGTTACGTGTATCAATCTCAGCACACTTCTGATCGCCCGACCGCTTTGTCTAACGGTATCCGTTCAAGGCCTACCGCCGGACCATGTAGCCATTGTGCAGTGACCGAATCTGTTCAATGGTGTTGGCACTGGAGGGATAAGGACCGTGTGGTCTGTTTGTTCTGCCGTTCTTACTGGTTGAAGCATAGAGTTGATCGACCGATGAAGAGAGAAAAGAAGTGCACTGGTACTATGCCTACGATGCGAGTGGACAAAAGACTGGGGATGGGTGCTCAGTTTGTGCCATGCAAAACAACAGAGACATCAACAAGGAAGCCAAGAAGAACAATTACGCAAACTGTGCATGTTCAGTAAGACCAACCTTTTTCACTAAGCTCCAACGAATTGGATATCACCACTTAAATTCCTGCGTTGTAATTTTAGCCCGAGTTTCTCCCTGGTAGGACTCTCATTAACTTACCTCAGTGTAGAGTGTTATGGATGGTCCGCCATTGAGCAACTCATCGTTAACAGCCTTCCGTGTTGTACTCATAAGCTTGCTAGGACCACAAGCACCAACAATAACGCGGTCATCTAAGTTGCCGCTTCCAGTGGCAGCCGCCGCGATCAAGTTGCCAATATTCGGGCGCCCTGACAACATCTGGTTGACCGAAGAGGAAATATTGTCTGTGGACTGTTGCTCAACGCCTTTCTCAGGATCATTCGCTGAAAATACCAGAGATGATTCTGCTGGGACTATATCGTTCTTTATAAATGTTTTTTCTGACAAAGAGTCTTGGGATGTGGGTGGCGATGTGCCGGACAGGTCAGTCTGGCGGGTGACGTAAATTTGCACATTCACTTCTGGATGAGACTGAAGTTGTTTGAGCTCTTGGGAAAACCATTCAAGACTCTCTGTGACACAGGGTTAGTTGACGAGCATATAAACATTGTGTCCTTGTCAACCTTTAACATACCCTGATGTCTCACTATCCAAATAAAGTCGATCGACTTGACGGCCTTCTTAGATACCTCGATCAGGTCTAGTGCAATAGCAAATGTGAAGCTAGCACCACTGCCACCGGCGACAAGAACGACCTTGTCAAACACTTTGAAGTTGGGGACTTGACCATATGCACCGTCGACGGAACAGCGTAGAGATCTCCCAGGGGACGCTTGGGCAGCTTTATATAAATCCTGCGTAAAGCCATCGTACACTCGAATCACGAACTCGGACGGGTTCGAAGACAACAGAGTGAACGGATGGCTTTCAACCCAGCGGATCGCAGGAACCCACAAGAATGCATGGGAACCTGGAGTAGAGTGCATGCGACGGCTGAGTTTCACCCGAATAGCATTGTTAGGCAAAGCTGTGACAGTAAGAGAATTTCCGAAGAAGTTCCAGAATATCTTTGCGCCGCGGATGATGCGGTCCATGACCCAAAGACAGGCAGTGAAAATGATGATAATCACTGTTGAGGTTGAAAATTTCGGACGGTGCATTCCGACTGTGATCATAATCAAAAGGAACATGATTATGTGCAGCATATAGAAGACTGTAGATGTTAGAAGTGAAAATTATAGTAGTACATGAACGGATGACCTACGTTCATAATACCCCCGCATGAAGTATGTGATAGTTGAAAAGCCAATGATGACCATAGCAATACCTGCAATTCCACCGGCAAAGTTTTCTACTTCTTCCAATTTGGACAACCTCCCACTCTGTGACCAGGCAGATAGGTACAGTATGGCATGCAGGACGCTTGTGAAGATGCAAGTGTAACCGGCAACCTTGTGTAACGGGCGGAGCTTTTCGTAGGATGTGGCTGTCAAGGGTGCGAGGGGCGTATTCTTCAAAGCCAAGAAAACCAGGAGCACCAAGTTTGCGACTGAAATCCTGTTTATTGATGCTTGTCAGTTTCTAGATCATGGGGGAATAATGTATCGAGAACACATACCAGCCAAATCGTTTGGCAACCTAGGAAATTGTCAGTTGAAAAGTATACCAAAGACGGAGAATGAACGAGCTAAGCTCACGTTGACAAGAATTGTAAAGTCTAGATTGGTTAAAGCGAGAATCAAGTTGATAGCCCAGTAGATGATATACAGAAGAGACCGGTCTGTCCTTAATCCCATTGGTGAACTAGAAAGAAAGGACTGTAATTGCCTGTTACATTCAGAAGATTAGTATTATCCTTGGCTCATATTAGCAATGAACATACCTATACTTCCGAGTCAATGTAGGATGATTCTTCCCTCGACCGTAATGAGAGTGAATTACACTTGACCAGTGGTATACGGCAAAAAGAACCATGATTGAGCCAATAGCAATAGCAAAATACTTGATACTCCACACGTTGTTAGACAGGCGCAATGCCCTCGCAGCAGCCTTCGCAGCAGCCTTTGCAGCCTTGGGGTCACTCATCCTAACCCTTGTAGACGGAGTCAACCTGGAAGCTTGAAAGGAAAATGTCTAGAACCAACACAGCCTGGCCGGGGAGCTCCATTATTAATCTTACTTCCTCTCATTGGAACTACACCGGAGAAATACGTGCCAAGAGCAAGAGGATGAACAAGGCTCCTCTGTCGACCAGTATACGTACTCGGCCTACTTCCGTGTCTCATAGGTTAAAGACTAAGTCCGGCGGAGCATTGCCTATATCGTCATGTGAACCGTTCTTATGACGAGATAGGAAATATAACTAGAATATCATCTGCAGGGTACATACGCCAGTAGAAAGGTAGAACGGGGATACCGAAAACGGTTGGGGGAGCACTTTTTTTTCCCACCAATCTCAGACAAATAAAACCATTAAATGCGGGTTATTTTATAGTTTTTCGACGGCTCTTCGACGGTTCTTCAACGGCTCTTCGGCGGTCCTTCGTTGCTGAGCGGATATTTAGCGGACGTTTCGCGGTGGTTTAGCGGCCACCCAACTACAAATTGGTTGTCAGCAGGCTTGCACAGAACAAACGGCTAATTAGTAGTTGTTATATATTCAGCAGTTGTCCAACCGGTCCTATATCCCTATATCCCTATTCCTCCCGTAATGTATGTAGTTACTATCCTCCCGTTCTGATAGGGCCGGAATGAAAGATATGTACTCTTCGGTCATTGTGCAGCATCAAGTCTTGGAATTTTAAGCGTTCTCTCCAGCCAAGGAACTGTATGAAGTGAATAACGAGTCACATTGGCTGTAAAATCCGTGAAATTTTATCGTGTGCCTCGATACTACAAAGGGTGGGGCCATGGGCATGAAAAAGTTAAAATTTAAATTCATCTAATCAATCAGATAAAATCTTGGAAAGCTAACTACCTACCTAGGTACCTAGGTACCTACCTTTCCATGGAAATTTCGGTGACGTTAGGTTGTGGAACACGGAGATACAGGTGCCAGCAGCGTGTGTGCATAACCGTTGGAAGCGCAGGGTATAGTATTTTCATGCAGAAGGCCATATAAACCGTCTGGCTAACACCCTATGCAGTTAATGAAAACTCGATATGTACAGGTTAAAGCGGAGCTAAAAATTACAGCGTCCAAGACAGACAAATTTTTTTTTTCATTTCCGAATTGGTTGAGCGGGTACCTGGGTACGTACATATACAACATAGCCACCGTATAATGATAAGATTAAAGGTGATCGATCAGTTAAATACTAGTACATAGTCCCCATATATTGTACTAGTGCGGGTCAAGAAAATCTTAGAATGCAGGTCGTTCGTGGGAAGTAACCCGATGGACTGATGCTTCGGATCCCTTACTAGGCTGGTCAAGTCGTGGGAAAAATGCATGTTTTCAGAGCGCATTTAGTGAGACTATCTACTTCCAAGAAGCCTTGTATTAGATGTATTAGAGAAAGCATTTTGACCACGTTTTGACCCATGGAACATATGTTGTACCTAGGTATGGATTTGGCTGCTCCGGTGGGGACACGCTCTATTCACCGAGACACCAAGACCTCGGGGTGAGACCGTGCGTTAAACCTTAGTGCCGCTTGGCAACGGTAAAATTACTAGCTCGCATTTGAAAATAATTCAGGTTGTTTTAATTTACAAAAACTAAACCTTGAAAGCTCCTCGTTCTCGCTTCCTCCGGCCATTTCGCCCAATGACCCGTTCGCCCAGTCTCTCGCCCATATAACCCCCTCCGATATTGGAACCGATATATCTGTCTCGACTGATTAAATCTAAAGAGCCAAAACGCCTGTCTCTGCACGTTTCTCCGAAACGGGGACGGCCGTATCAACAGGTACTGTTGTCTCCACGGGTGCCGTCGGATCTTTATAGGGACGGCACAGGATAAAGGCTCTGGCTCTAGCCTTGGCTCTTGCGACTCTGTTCATAGCCGGGTCAATGACAGGAATAGCCCCGCGCTTCTCGCGGTAGAACATCAGCCCGTAGCCAATCATGACACAAATCCAGTATAAGTTGTACGCGATCACGGAGCCATAGTCGGCGGAATTGGTCCAACCAAGAAGCGCGTTGAAGATACCCCAACCGCCGCCACCTCCTAGCTCTGGGTTGCAGCAGTTCACGTGCCAGACACTCTGTCGGATGTCGTAGGATCCAGCACCGGAGCCAGTCTCCGACGCGTCGCCTCCGATAATATTGTTCCAAGCATTGTTCTCCAAGTACCAGACACCACGCGAGAAAAGACCGGCGGCAACGAGGTAGAGGAAGCAAGTGGAAATAATCAAGAATATCTGCATCGAAGTCTGTCGTCCACCTCTATCGGTGTTTTAGCCCGTATCTTTCTCAAGAGCAATTGAATTGACATACCGGTAGATAATATAGCCCACTGCGATACCGGCCAAAAGGCCGCAGACGACAGCCAAGGGGAAGGAAGTGGCAGGAAGCCCTAATCCAACACCACCGACATAGACAACGGCCTCGAGACCCTCCCGGAGAACGGTGATAAATGGCAGGATAAACATAGCGTATTTCTCCAACCATCTCTTGACGCGACCCTTCTTTGTCTCATTGGGATCATGCTCGGTTTGGAGGGCCTTGGCGAGCTTGACACGCCATTTGTCTTGAAGTTTAGACACCCGCAGCAGGGCCGCACCCATAATCGTGATAATGATCGATGCAATGATTCCCAGAACACCCTCCCAAATATCCTCAGTGCTGGAGAAAGTATCTGTTCCGAGGCCGTAGAAACCACCGATCATGCCTGCGCCGACTGCGAGACAAATAAATAGTCCTAAGCCGCATCCCAGCCAGACCTGCTTTCTTTTAGCCTATGAACTTGAATAGCATTGTGAGAGTCGGTCACACATACTTGTTTCACCAGTCTTTTATACGTCGGGCGATCACTTTCGGACAGCGACTGCTTTAAAAAAGCCAGCAGAACTGATACAACCACCGTCGTCTCGAGACATTCTCGAAAACAAATAAAAAACACTGAACCAAGTTGATAAGCAATTGTGTTTTCCAAAAAGGCAGTGCATGAACTATACCGGTGACAGCAAAAACTTTGTTACTCCCCATGATGCTTGATATAGTATATATGACTTTGAAGGAGAAGAGATTCAAGCAGAATCCAGTGGCTAGAAAGTCAAGGAGCACCTGTATAAGGCCGCTTGTAACCCGGTTACCAAAACATACTCTGTATTGTTGGAAATTCAAAGTTCAAAATTACACGGGCTATGACCTCGGACCTCTCTTGAACAAGCATTCGACGACCCACTCCGTATTTATCCGGTTGAGCTTGGCTTCTTGTAAGCTCACCTGTCTCCGTATTGGAAGCTTTTCCTAAGCGTTTAGCGTTATGATTGGTGGCAGTGGATATATGTCTTAAAACATCCATGTATCATCACATGTTCAAGGGTCCAGCCACCTAAGTTTTTGACTCGCAAATAAACCCCGCCAGGAGAGATAACGATCATACCATGTTCTCCCGATTTGGCAGGTGAGCACAAGTTCGTGACCCTTTGATTCGCCTACGATCGATAAAGCAACCCCAATTCCACCTGGGCACCTTTTGACTCTTCTCGCCATGGTACACCTGGAAAACCAACGAAAGAATAACAACCTCCCACGTGGATATGCCATAGACTTCTGGGTTACATCTGATTGGAATGAAAACCCCTCCCAGAGTTCCCAGGTTTCCCACGGTATGGGCCCAGATTGATTAAGATAATCGGAAAGGATTAACTTTCCGCTTATCAATCTTGTACTGCGCTAGAATTGTTACAAGCTTCCGTTCCAAGCTACCTAGGTACCTATGTTGTAGTCTTTTTTGTTCGCCTTCTCTTTCCGTCCGGAATCCGGAAATTCTTCTTCTACCTCCTCCCTAGCGAAACCAGGCGAATCTTAAAGCATGGCTATTTTTCATAGAATGCTGATTCGCCTTGCGGTAGTACTACTTCTTGTGCAGTACTGTCAAGCGAAGACGGTGAATCTGGATTTCAATGTCACTTGGGTCAATGCAAACCCGGATGGCCTCCATGAGCGCAAGGTGGTCGGTATAAACGGCCAGTGGCCGTTGCCTGTCATTGAGGTGGACAAGGGCGATCGCCTGATTGTCAATATGTATAACGGGCTTGGGGACAAGGAGACTTCCATCCATTGGCACGGCATGTTCCAAAATGGCACCAATAACATGGATGGTCCGTCGATGGTCACCCAATGCCCAGTCGCTCCTGGTTCCTCCATTACCTATAATTTCACCATCCCCCAAAATGGTACTTACTGGTACCATTGTCATACCGACGCCTGCTACCCGGACGGTTATCGACAGGCTCTGATTGTGCACGATGATGACGCATATTTTAACGATATGTATGATCATGAAGTTACCGTTACGATGAGTGATTGGTACCATGAGCTTGTTGAGGACATTCCGTTCATTCGTGTTGAAAACCCGACGGGAGCTGAGCCTGTTCCGGATTCCTTCCTCTTCAATGACACTTTGAACACAAACATTCCTGTCGAAGCTGGAAAGACCTATCTGATGCGATTGATCAACATTGGTGCCTTTGTAGCGCAGTATTTCTACATCGAAGATCACACTTTCCGCATTGTTGAAATCGATGGAGTATACGTTGACGCGCAAGAGGCCGATACGCTTTATATCGCCGTTGCGCAACGTTATGCCATCTTGGTCACCATGAAAAATTCTACGGATAAAAACTATCCGATCGTGACGGTTGCCGACTCGCTTTTACTAGATGTGATCGAGCCTTCTCTTCAACTCAATCAAACCAATTGGCTCGAGTACAATAGCAGCGCGGCGCACCCGCAAGCTGTAATGACGGTGGATGTCGCCTCTGACCTTGTTCCATACGATGATATGAAACTTGTTGCCCACGATCGGATGGAGCTCCTCCCAGACCCTGATATGATCGTTCAGGTCGATGTTATTATGGACAACCTGGATGATGGTGCGGGTTATTCATTCTTCAATAATATCTCCTACACGATGCCTAAGGTCCCGACATTATACACTGTCCTCACATCCGGGGATTATGCCACAAACCCGGCGGTCTACGGAGAATACACACATCCCTTCATTTTTGAGCACAACGCTGTCATTGAGATCGTTCTCAATAACCTGGATGGAGGTTCGCATCCCTTCCACTTGCACGGACACAACTTCCAACTCGTCAGTCGCACTCCGTCATACGGTCCGTCTTTCAATGACTACACTGACGGTGACCCTCTCCCCTTACAATGCCACCGAGAATCCCTCCAGTAGCTTCCCGAAATACCCCGCTCGCCGAGATACCTTCGTCGCACCACCCCAGGGTAACTTTGTTGTCCGGTTCGTCGCCGATAACCCTGGTGTTTGGTTGTTCCACTGCCACATCGATTGGCATATGTCACAGGGCTTGGCAATGTCATTCATCGAAGCCCCGAAACAGATTCAACAGCAATTGTCGCTAACAGAGAGCGAAATTAACATCTGCAATGCTGCCAACATGTCCTATGAGGGAAATGCTGCCGCTAACACGGAGGATCTGCTCGACCTAACCGGTGAAAATAAGCAGCTTCCGTGGCTACCTGTCGGATTCACGGCGAGAGGAATCGTGGCAATGGTTTTCTCTTGCGTGTCTGCTTTCCTTGGCATGGCGTTCATCACCGTTTACGGTATTTCAGGCATCAAAACACCGAAAGGGGAAACTGCTGTGGTTACCGAGCGTGAGGGATTGTGAGTTCCTTTTGGGATTTTTGGGATTTTTGGTGTACTTAATTTATATATTTGTCTCGCTTGAGCGGATATACATTTGCATTCTCCTTGAAATTTATCTCCTGGTTGTGAACTCTTCCTTGTGGCATGTGGAGTATAGAAAACTCATTGCCAATCCATATATTGGTTGTTATATTCCAAGGTTGTCATCGGTGCTATTTTAGATACAATGTTGCCATTATGCGTAAAATTATCATGCCAAACAATAATAGAACGCTTCAATCTCGTTATACCTCCGATGCCGGCCAACACATCAACCGACTGGCCCCATATAATGAGATCTAAAGTGTTCTTCCCTGTCTTCTCCAACTCTAATGTCTGTCTTCCATTCCTTCTCCCCGGTTTCCCGGCTTAGGTTGAGGTAAATCATGTCTTGTATAATGTACCTCAAACCAAGCCTATATTCTCTAATGATTCAAAAATAAAATAGACTTCTGGTAGATATTCCCTAAAAGGAATGTTACTGGAGAAGACATCTGTGCCTCAAATATCGATTCCAAAAAATGCCCATAGGGAGTAAAGATGGAGGTGTCTTGATAATCGTGTCTAGATCAGGAAAGTTGGCGACATCAAATGCTAGCATATTGACTAGGCGAACTGTATGTTGTAACGTAGTTCACAGCGAGCTGTTATCTGTTAAAACACATAGTAAATGGGATAAATCAAAACTTGATAGCTCAACAACGCAGCTTTACAGGAACTGTTCATTTTAGCCTAATAGTTTTCACGTGGTATCTGACCAATTTAGGGAAGTTTGAGAAATTGAATGATGTGTTCACTGAGAGATATATATTTTAAAGTCCAACGATGTAATTTTCGGTACAACAAGAATGTAAGTGTTCAATTGCTTCAATTTTTATTTCATCATTTTGACGGCAATGTAATGATCACTTAAGTGGCACATGGTGATCACAGCCAGTCCCAGCTCGCTGGTCCGCACCAATACATCTGGTAAGGCACACTAGTGAGAACACTACCTACTATATGGCTGAAATGTACTTTCTGACTGAAAACTAACGGCCGACTTGACTTTTCTTGCAATCCCGACCTTCGGTCAGTCATCGAACCTACTTCCCATGCCTGGTCGGCGACACTAAGCAGTACGATACCGCATTCCTAGGTTTATTATCATTCGACCGAAATGCGCAAACTGTCAATGCGGAGTTGTCGACGATGTACGTGCTTTCTTTGTATACGTTCTTCAAAAACCGGGTCAAACAGGCCGACTCATTCTTCCTTTGTAGAGCTGTCGCAGATGCTTTGTATGAGGTACTTATCATTATGGCGAAGAAGGGTTCATTGTCTATTGGCGAAAAGTCTTGTAATTGCCCATAGTTGTAGAAAGGAATTTAAGTGTGGACGGACATTGAAGGATTCGAAACACTCTATATCAGGTTGCGAACAAAGAAATTTGTTTGTTGTTACCTCTGTGGACAGGTGTTAGGGTTCGGGTTCTGGCATATGCAATGCAATGCAACGGGTTTTATTAGGCCAGATATTGAAACCAAAAAGCGATCGGCGATCCTTCAACGGTTTCTCTGACGATAGTGGACCTCTTTTCAAATTCAATCCAGGAACCAAAGACAAAAAAAAGTCCCATATATGACATTTGTGTACCCCTTGTTTCAGCGCAATTTCCACGTGGATGATAGAATGTAAGACTAAAGATGTCGGGTTGGGGATGAATTAGGGCCAATTATAGAACACCCCAGCTGAGTACGGAGTACGGAGTACTACATAGACGAAATACCCGTTTCACATCGTAGACGGGTGGATATCAAGCGATGAACCTCCGACTCCGCATCACAGTCAATTGGAGTGGACCCCGGGTGCCAATGAACTATCGGATTGGTTTGGCTGGCCCGTCTCCGACACGATTCGGCTCCATCTGGAAGTGAACACGCAGCGATCGGCACCCAGAGACCCATGAAGATGGTCGATTGGGAGAATTGAAAGGAATTGAGCCTGGATGGTTCCCTCCAGCCTCCTCCAAAATGGACCCTGTTGAAGCTAAAAGCAAACCTGAAACGAACGGACACAACGTGGAGGGTTCGAGACACTCGGCCTTTTTTTAATTTATTGTCGGTGGAGATAAAAGCTTTGAAAGAGATATTTTTACTAGTTCGCATTGGAAGACCGATGTAAGGCATGGCACTATTGAACCATGTGCCCCGGAGTATTTACAGAAAAGGAGATATTTCCAGGTTGATATGTTAATAGTTAACCCCCTAACGTAGGTACAATATACGGAGTACCCGGAATTACAATAAAGAAAACCAGTTAAACCTTGGTAGACAGTAGAAAGTAGTTACATTCCATTGGATAACTAACTATACTACTCCATATTCCGTTGTTACTCCTGAGATATGTCAACCCCTGAACCAAAAAAAAAAAAAAAAAAAAAAGAAAAAGACTCTCCCCCTTGGGGAAAGATGAAATCGTCCTTCATCTTAAATTAAAAAACGCTAAACTATTCTAAGGTGGTGCACGGTGGTCAATCACTCCAGCATCTTTCCAATCTTTCCATATTAATTTTGTATTCTGCCATATTCTACTTCCCTACCTCTCCGTACTTTCTCTCTCCTACACAATAACACAGAAGGGGGAAACTGGGAGACTATCAGGTACGCGTTGTGTTGTGATTCTCTCTCTTATCGATACCCGCGAAAAAAGAAAAAAAAACTAAAGGAAACTGACACTTCTCTCTCCACATTCCAGACCATCTCCTTAATTCTACGCCTCATGACTACACCTATCGATTAACACTTCGAATTCCTTGTATTTCTATCCCACCTGGTGTGGTTCTCTTGGGGATATTAGGGAGAGAAATGACTGTCTCACCGCCAGCATCGCCCACTGGCGCACCCCCGCGTCCCATCAGTGCTGTCATGCGCACTCCGCGTAGTACCAGTCGTTTAAGTATGAGCAGCAGGCAAGGTGGAAGTCGTGCATCTGATGAGGATGGCAAGACTGCAGTTAAAGTCGGTATGTGGATTCTTCGAATGCTTCCCCTGATTATGCCCAGTTCCATGGTTATCCGATACCTGCAATAAAAAGAAACAACATCAGCCAGCAACTAAATTCATCACTAACCGACCGCAGCTGTCCGTGTACGACCACCACTGAAACCAACCGATCCTGGTTATGAATTGATTCCTCAGCGGTTCCAGAAGTCCACCGTCCAAGTCACCGCCCCGACTAGTCTGGCCGTCGATGTGTCGGCTGGGCGCAAACTATTTGTGTTTGATCGGGTTTTCCCTGAAACTACCGAACAGGAGGGTGTCTGGGAATATGTCAGTGATAGTGTCGACTCATTTGTTCAAGGATACAACGTCTCGATTATGGCATATGGCCAGTCCGGTGCGGGAAAGTCCTTTACAATGGGTACCTCGGGCCCCATTGACCAGAATAACATGCAGGATATGGGTGAGTTTGAAAGATGCTGGTTTACCAATCAACCCAGGGACTAACCGTGTGTCTTCATCTTGATTTAGGTATCATCCCCCGTGCTGCCCAGGTCTTGTTCGATAAATTGGACGGGCCCTCAAAACATAATCGGACTGGGTCGCACTCGACTACTGGGCTCCGAACACCCCAGCGATATTCAATGACTTCCGCCGCAAGCTTTGGGAAGTTGAATCAGGAAAAAGATAAGGCCTGGCAGCTGAAGGCTACATATGTGGAGGTGCGCTTTTTTGTCTTTTTTAGGAAACTGCTGGTGTGGCATTGTTCTAACTATTGTTCCACAGATCTATAATGAGCACCTGAGGGATCTGCTCCTTCCCGAATCGACCGCCGCAAACGACCGCAGCAACGTGACGATTCGTGAGGATACTAAGGGCCGTATTATTCTGACTGGGTTGCACCAAGTCAACATTAACTCATTTGACGATCTAATCGGTGCCTTGAACTTTGGCTCGACCATCCGTCAGACAGACTCCACGGCAATCAACGCCAAATCATCTCGGTCGCATGCCGTCTTCAGCTTGAACCTTGTGCAGCGCAAGTCTTCACCAAATCACGCGACCCCGAGCACTATAAAGGAGAAGCGCATGTCGATGCCAGTCGACACGTTCCACGCCGGGGAATCGATAACTGTTGATAGCAAACTGCACTTCGTGGATCTGGCGGGAAGCGAACGGCTGAAGAACACCGGTGCCTCTGGAGAACGTGCGAAGGAGGGGATCTCTATTAACGCGGGTTTGGCTGCACTCGGAAAAGTCATCTCACAACTCTCGTCACGCCAACAGGGCTCTCACGTCTCCTATCGTGACTCGAAACTTACCCGACTACTCCAGGATTCGCTCGGTGGAAACGCTTACACGTACATGATTGCTTGTGTCACTCCCGCCGAGTTCCACCTCAGCGAGACTTTGAACACAATTTCATATGCTCAGCGAGCCCGAGCCATTCAGAGCAAACCTCACATCCAACAAATTGCAGACGACGGCGACAAGCAGGCTATGATTGAGCGACTCAAGTCCGAGATATCTTTCTTGCGCCTGCAGATCCGCAACTCAGAAGGATCGGAGCGACGTGAAGGAGGATCCACCGAACGAAGCGAACGCAAGAACGAACGTGAAAAGCACTTGCAGAATCAGTTGTTGGACATCCAAGAAAGCTACAATTCCCTCAGCCAGCGCCACGCCAAGCTGATTTCAAATATGGCCAATGATTCGGAGTCGCATCCAAACGGCGAAATGGACGATGCAACCTCCGAGATTGGGAAGAACTCCGTTGAGCGAATGCAGCGGTCCAAGTCTTTTGCCGAGTCCGTGGAGCAGATGGTTCTGGAGTACGAAAAGACCATTCAAAGCTTGGAATCTTCGCTCTCTGAAACACGCGCCTCCCTCTCTATCACGGAGAGTGATCTACTCGAGCGTGAGACCAAGTGTGCCTATATCGAGACTGTCAAGGAACAGCTTCAGACCCGTGTCCAGAAGCTGACGGACCGGGAACTCAACA